GTGAAAAAAGAATAAGCATCGCGCCTTGCATTACCAAGCTATTTACATGATCACATATATTATGATAACCAATCTTTTTCCAGAAATTAACGAGTTTCAGATCAAGTAATATACTTCTAGCAATAACATTTAACTGTTTATTATTTTCGAACCCATCAAAAGAAGGATAGGGTACATTTCCTTCTTCATTTCTAATTCTTGGAGGAAATGGGATAAATTTAAAATCAATTATCAAACTTTCGATAAATTTGATATTCCTTTCCATTACAAGAGGAGCACCAGTGATGTGATACGGTCCACCAGATTTATAATGAAATAATTCCATATCATTCCCTTGTAGATTTAATTTATCACCATATAGAATATTTGCTTTGTTTAAAAGCAAATTAAAAATATCAAAAGATAGATCACTACACCATTTTTTATTTTAGTCTTTATTTAAATTTGGATCTGTTTTTAATTTTTCTTCTAATAATTCAGGATCGTAAATACCATAAGAATCATATAGTTTCTGGATAAAATATCTAGACAATATTCCACCCTTGTTGAGAATGATCTTTGTCGTCTCAATGTTGAGAAAGGTCGGACCTAGCTTGATAGCGTAGAAGAGAGCGTGAGCGATACCGTGATGAAAGATGAGCTATTCAGCCTTAAACTAATTATCGATGATGATGTTTTTAAGGTGTTTACAGACATGAATCACATTAATCAAGATCCTGATATGCTTTAATATGTTAGCAACGATCTCATTAGAAAAATCATGTATGGTAACCATTTTTAGATATTTTTTTATCAATGAATAAATTTGATTTATTTATATTTGTTTTATCAATTAATATCATTATCATTAATATTTGGATTTTATTATAATGATAATATTTTTATAAATTATAATTTATAAATTCATGTACATTATTATTATTATTATAATCATTTATCGCATTTTTTAACTTTGTATAAAACGAATCATTAGCATCCTGACAACATTCGTCAGTATGTCCAAACGGCCAATCAACAAATCCATGGTAGATAATTCCGATACAACGTCTTTTTGCGTAATACATCTTTTTATAATTCATATTTTTAGCATTATCTAGATATCCTAATATTTCGTTAGCTGTATTGATATCACAAATTCTGATACTATTTGTTTTTCCTTCCCATGGAGTCAACCAATCTTTATCAAACTGATCTTTCAGAGTCTTAGACATTTCATCGATTTTTTGACCATGTATATAATGAAATCTATTAATCGATATTTTATTAATTTTGTTATTAATATTTAATAATTATCATTGATGATTACCTATCGTTACACAAAACTCGAAAAGTAAAATCAAAAAAAACCATGATTTAATGATGATAAATTTAAATTTTAATCATATTTATATTTTTTTTATTTGAAATTATTCGTTTTTTTTTATATAAATATGATATAAAAAAAATAAAAAAAAAAATAATCTTTTAATATGGAAAATATCAAAAAGTATCGAATATCATATATTTAATATATTTTTAATCATAAATATTAATTATTTTTTTTTTAGTTACGATCGTGATGAAATTCTAACAATATATAAAGAAAATTTAAAAGAAGATATAAAAGAAATCTTTGCTGAAAATTTGATTAAAGAACAAAAAGATTTGATCAAGAAACAAGAAAATTTAATCAAAAAATACAAAAATGATCGTAAAACAACTTTAAAAATTACAAAAGTAGTAATCATACTTTTGATTATTGATATCTATTTGAAATGTTTCTTCGATTATTAATAGAATAATTATAAATAAACAACATATATTTCATAAATAAAAAAAAATGAATATTGATCATGATCTTTCCAAATGAATTGATATTGTATATTCTATCATATCTTTATG